AATTATATTTGAAAGAAAGATTTGTTTAAATTTTAGAAGAATAGTAAGGCATATTATCTTCATGCTTTAGAGGTTATGAAAAAAAATTATTAAATATGACCTAAAAACCAAGGATAACAAGCAATGATTGATTTAGTAGAGTAAAGGGAGGAGGAGAAGGCATGGGGAAATATTTGAATATTGTTCTATTGTTGTTTTTGTTGTATGAATGTACTACAATGAATTATATATATATATATATATATATATATCACAAATAATAATAATAATAGAAGGGAAATCAGTATAGTAGAGCAAGTAGATGAGTGGGAGGGCAGGAAAGAGGGAAAGGGATGGTACTAGGGAAGGGAACTGACAAATTATGTGCAAATGTCAATATGGCATACCAAATTTCTGTATTATGTATAATTAAAATGCACCAATAAAATGTGTTGAAAAACAAAGATTCCCTGTTTAGCTGTGGATAAGGATCAGTGGTAGAAAGTTTTCCTTTATGTGTGAGATACTGGTTTTAATTTTCAAAGCTGAACATTTTTTTAAAAAACAATGTCCTGACTTTTGAGATGATATAGTGAAACTGAAAGAGTAGTCCACAATAAAATTGAAAAAAGGTGATACTACACAAATTAAAGCATTAGTCAATGTGAAACTAAACTAATTTAAAATAATAAGCAGATTTAAAAAGACACAGAACCAAAATTTATATAAAGTTAAAAGTATACATCCTGGTTGGAAAAACAAATATAACATGAAGTGTGATTTCTAAAATGTTACAGAAATCATACAAAGTAAGTTCTGGATGGAAGTTGCATTAGAGGGAAAGGAGGATGGTGTCCATCAAGGGAAACATACACTTCAAATTCACGGAGTTAACACCATATTGAAATGTGGGTGCTAGTGCTTCAATATTTAATTTCATTACTATTAATATGTTCTGAATATTTAAATATGGATGATGAGTTTTTAACTAGACTAATAATTTATGTCTTCTCACATTCTTATTTTAGATTAATGGTTATATAAGTAAGCAAGAGCACGCTGTTATATACAAGAAAAATACTTTTACTGTTAGTTAAGTTATAATGATGATTGTAGCTATTTAGCAAGATTTCTTATTAATGCACTAAACTGATATAAATTATATTTCAATATAAAAAATAATTTGCTCATCCACAGACTATCACACTTTCTTAATACAGCAATAATATTCTTTGACTACGAATGTTAAAACCAAATTTTTATAAGTCTGTTTTTCTGATAGTTTTAAAAAGTATTTCATTTTACTTTGTTCTTAATTTAATTACCAGTGCTCAAAGTTAATAGACTTAATAATTTTAAAATTTTACTGGTCCCTTCATTGAGATGCTTTTTTTTTCTAGTCATGCTAAAATGTAAAAAATGATAGAAAAAAATGTTACTAATGGGAGCACAGTGCTAAATAAAAATCCTGGAAAACTAAAGGAAAATATATATGGTTATAGTCAGAGATAAGAAGTCAAATTTTATTAATCTAAAAAGCACAACTTTATAAGGTCTCTGTGGATTACTTATTCATGTGACTTAATGTTTCATGTACTTTTCCTGATGCATTCAGATAACATAAATCAAAGAGCATAGTAAGGCACAATTCTTTAGCTCCTTCCTGTCCTCCCATAATTCATATTACATCTGAGTCATTTCTCATATGTGTTTGGCATTATACAATGCTTTTTATTTTGGACTAGAGTAAGAAGCTTACAAATGTGTATATTATAAAAAGATTCCTCTTAAGCAATTGATTAAAAAAACAAAATAAATTTCTATTCTATTTAATTCTCCTAGAAATAACAAGTGGAAAGTTCATATATGTTGATAATAACATCTAGATAAATGTAACCAAGACCAAAGCTTTAGATATTCAGATAATTCAGGAAAATTAGTTTTAAATTGGGCCTGCAATTCTATAAACAGCAACTAAGAAAATCATTTCAAAAACACAGTGAAAATTTAGCCAGGCATGATGTTGTCTGCCTATAAATCCAACAACTCAGGAGGCTGAGGCAGGAGAATGGCAAGTTCACAGCAGTCTCTTAGCAATTAGGCAATACCCTTACCAACTTAGTGACACCATAAAAGGAAATACAAAGGACTGTGAGCCAGTTGTGGTGGCACCTGACTATAATCTCAGTGACTTGGAAAGCTGAAGCAGGAGGACCCCAAGTTCCAAGACACCTAGGCAACTTAGCATGACCCCATCTCAAACTAAAAAAGTATAGCTGGGGATGTAGCTTAGTGGCATAGCACCCCCAGTCCCCCGTTTCAATCCCTAGTATCATAAATAAAAAGTACTGGGGAAGCAGTTTGATGGTAAAGTTCCTCTGAGTTCATTCTCAGTACAAATAAGTAGATATAAATATACAGTGAAAAGTCACTAAAGAAATTGAAAGGCTGCAATAGAAAATATGCACTTAATGCAAAATAAGAAGTAAAGGAAATAGAAGAAAGACAAGACATGAGACATATAAAAAACAAATAGCAAAAGGACACAAAGAAAACTGTGTCAATAATGACATTAAATGTGAACAGGTTAAACAATTCCAACTACAGGCAGAGATTTTCTGATTGTATTAAAAAGAAAAAACAGTTCAACTATACACTGTACACAGAAAACATACTCAAAGAAGCCTGAAATAAAAGATTATGATGTAGGAATCTAAGAGACGTGCTAAAGTTTGGGGGGAAGAGTTAAGGAAGAGTTTTTGTATAAAATGAGTAATTTCAAATGCATCCCTGAAAACAGGGGGATTTAAAAAGCCAAATGCATGTCCATAGGAAGATACATACTCAGCACAGATCTGAGAAGACCCTAAATTTTCATCTCAGTATGATCCACAGACTTAATGCAAGTATAGAGTGAATCTCAAAAATTGGGAAAAGCACTATTTGTTTGTTTTAGCTACCAGTGATGGGGGTGGGGGGAGGAAATGGAACACAAATGTGTTAACCAGTGTCTGGCACTGTGGTAGAACATCTGAGATAATCCACTACAAGGGAATAAAGACTAGTTGAGGCTCATTATTGTTGAGAGCCAGTTTAGACAGAATGATGCCTGGCATTTTTGCCAGAGGGAATGGTTGAAAGGATGCTGCTGGGAATAGGGTGGCTCCAGGATTAGGGCGGATCCTGCTGCCTCAGGCACCTGCTACTTTGGAGTTCCTGTTGAGTTCTTGGGGGAGCCTGGAGGAGCCTGGTGGAGGCAGTGTGTTCCTGGGAAGTGTGTGTAGGGTGCCAGTGAGAATTCAGGAAAAAAGGTTGCTGTTTGAACCTACAAGGCTGTGTGGCGGCTCGGTTATTTTGTGCCCAGCCAGAGTGCAGCAATAATTTTCAGGGTTTCAGTCCATGGCCGCTTGGTCCTGGATTTACTTTTGGATCTGGGGTAGCACGGTACATATGGAGAAAATGTGTTCATGTCATGGAGGCTGGAAAGTGTAAAGAAAGAGAGGAAGAGTCTAGGATCCCATTATCACCTTCAGTGCAGGCTCCAAATGACCTATCTTGCTTCCATCAGGCCCCACCTTCTAAAGGTCCCACCAACTCTCAACAGCACTACAGGCTGGACAAAGCATCCACATCTGGGCCTTTGGTAGATATTTAAGAACAAAACCATAACAAGCTAAGAAATACACACTTCAATTACCACAGAGGAGAATAAATACTCTTTTCAAAAAAAAAAAAAAAGTTTACAAGGTAACAACAGACTACTGAAATCTTTAAAAAAATCAAAAAATAAAAACCTTTAAGATGGAAGAGAATTTAATTACTGTGTTTCCTCACAATAATATCCATATGCCAGGTTTCACCAAAATCACAAGGCTGACAAAAACCATAGGAAAATATAGCTCATTCAACACAGCACAACAAATGCACAGAAAATGTCCTTAAGAAGTCCAGACAAAGGTTTTAAAACAGCTGTACTAATTGATTCCAAGAGCTAAAGGAAAACATGACAGAGAACTAAGAGAAATTTTTTAAAAATGATGTGTGAACAAAATAAGAATATCAAAAAAGGAAAAAAAGTAACAAATATAAATTCTGGAGGTTAAAATATAATGGAAATAAAATAATTCACTAGAAGGGTTCAACAGAGGATTTGAGCCAGCAGAAAATATAAAGGATTTAAATAAGGACACTAAATTGTGAACACGCATGGCAAATACAAAAACAGTATTATTGTATTTTTGATTTGTAACTCCTTTTTCTTATTTCATAAATATTTAAAGGATAATTGTATAAAATAATTATAATTACATATATATGCCTTTATGCATAAAATGAATAGATAAAATTTATGACAGGGACAACATAAAGATGGTGGAGTTAAATGGGAAGAGAATTTCTATATGTTTTTGAAAGTAAACTCAGTATGAAATCAAACTAAGCTATAATACTTTAAGGATGCTAAATCTAATACCTATAATAACCATAAAGATAATAGCTAAAAAAAAAATATCTAAACACCAAGGACATAAAGCTAAATTATAATATTTCACTACAAAAAATGAACTTTTAAAAATTGTGCTTAGAATCAAAACTAGGGCCTTTTAGAACAACTGACAATAGCTAACAAACACTAACAAACTTGAAGGTAGACATGGATATTTCTGCCATTATAGACAGAGATTTCAATACCCTACATTCAATAGCAGAGCATCTAGGCAAAAGATAAGTAGGGTAACAGAGAAAATGAGCAATATCATAAACCAACTAAGACTCATCGATACATATACATAGATACAGCACTACATTCTACAACAGCAGAATACACATTCCCTTCCTTGGAGTGCATGCAAAACTTTCTACAGCATAGACCCTATGTTAAGCCACAGAGCATGACACACAATCTTTTCCAATCACAGTAAAATGAAACTAGAAATAAGTCAGCTGTAATATTATACTATTTAAACTTTGTAAATACAAAAAAAAAACTATTCTATGGTTAAATAAATCAAAACCCTGATTACCTTTGAACATAATGATGAGAAGGAGTCAAAAAGAAAACTTCCAGAATGCTCACAGTGTTCTACTTCTTGATCCACAATTTTCCCATGAGTGTTCTCCTTTTGTATAAATTTGCTGATCAATACAATCATAATTTGTGAAATTTCCAAACGTGTTGTTCTGGAATATAGGAGTTTTAAAAAGGAATAGAAACATTAGAGTCCAGTTTCATGTACAAATGTAATTAAAAATATTTAAATAAAATATTAGCAAATAAAAAGCTATAGGCAGCAATATAATTTCATGATCATATTGCATTTATTCAGGTAAGCTTAATTTAAAACTATATGCTGTAAAATATCATTCACCATTAAAAATAAGAATTTTAAACATAATTCTCTAGGAGAGAAAAAACATTAGCTGCAATGAAGCTTTGCCTTCCATTAAAGAAAACAAAAATCTCAAAGAATTTTGCTGAAGCAGAGCAAGTCAGGTTTTAACAATTTCACAGGAATTATTTATAACACCTTGGGGAAGAACAGAATTTTGTGACCAGGACAAAAATACTTCTAATCTTAAATTAAAAGGATTAAAAATACAGCTGTGTTAAAACAAACAAGATGTCCCAAATACATCAGGAAGAAATTAAAATGTATATCACAATTTAAAAGAGTATGTTTACAACACAATAAATGATTATAGATTGATTATCAAACATTCTAAATGATTCTTCTAAAGAAAATATAACATCTTAAAAACAAGTAGAAGTGAAGAAAAGGCATGCTTGATAAATTAGTAAAATATAATAGTATTTCACAAAACTTAAAACAATGAATATTTCCAGCCAGCTTTTTATAAAGCAAACACAACCATTTTCTCCACAGAGAGAAAAATTCAAATTTCTTTACAGAAACAGACCCACAAAAGATTTGACCTCAGCAGCTATTCACTCACTATAGTTGGTTGTTTTTGTTAACAGACTAAACTGCTTTATTGAGCATTAGGAGTCAAAGTGGTCTATATCTGAGCTGATAATTATAACACTGGATTTTGAATTCTAAAAGAAGATAGCAATTACAGAATCAACTGGGGAGAACATCAACTAAAAAGGTAAAGTACCTTCAGAAAAGAAATACTGGTAATAGCTGAACCAAAATTGTGGTTGGCTTGAACTCCAAAGTTTTGACCATGAACACAGCTCCAAAGTAAACTGCTAAGTGACAAGCAATAAGTTTTAGGATCAGGATTCAAATCATATCTATGCAACAATAGAAGCCTTGCCTTTTTATAGAAAATACCATTAGAAGAGAAAAACTGATATTGATTTTGGCATATTTTGACTTGGTCTGTCCTAAAGACTCAGATTTAGAAGGTGTCTCTATTTAAGATTTCCAAAAAGAAATGCTTGTCAAATTAGACAGCAAACATGTATCTCATTAGCTCCCAGGAAATGTCAAATTCATTTGCACGTACAGAGAGTTAATGATGTGTTTCTGGATTTCTTATAAATTACTATTTTATACTCAATTTTAGAACACCCAGATATTATGCAAATTCAGACTTTTAAATAATTTCAGTAAACAAAAATTCTGGAGATTTGTAGAAATTAATACATGAATTTTTACTACACATCGACAAATGTATGGAGAATTTTAAATAGTATTACTCTGTATAGTGCCTACGCTCCATTCTCCATACATTCTATACTATATAGTCTTTATACTATATATTATATATATGCCTTATGCATATTATATTCTACATTATATGTCCTTTATATATTAATATATTTTTTCTGAGAGTTGGAAGAGTTATCTATGATAAGATTTCATATTATGTAAACCTGCCTCTTCTCAGAGTGCTGAAAGTTGAATGGAGTCATTGGGTCGGTTCAGTTTCTGATCTATCAGCCATGTTATTCTTTTCACATAGGACTTTGTCCTCTGGAAAGTTCTCCACTGTGCCCATCAGCTTCTGTGGTTGCATATGAAGTAGGATTTATGTTCTGCTTAGATATTGCATATTTTCACAAACTAATGTTTGCAGTTGCAATATTGGAAACCTGAAATCTCTTTCAGAGATAAATAATCAGATGCTTTTAGGGCAAGACTATGAATTCCTTGTTAATTGTCTTCTCAAAAATTTATCAGACTCACTGACTATATGCTTCCCCATATTACCGTTTCATAAGGAACAAACCATGGTGTTTTTTATTGGATGTAGTCTTAAGCCTGACTTAGAATTTTCTTCTGTGTGCTCATGTCTTCTCCCAACTTATGTTAAAGAAAGTGACTTGAAGATCTTTAGCACCATAGAGTGGAATGAAAGACAACAGTCACAATCTGATATTAACTACAAGTTTAAAAAGCATTCTTGGCTGAGGAATCTAAAACAGAATTCTTGGTAATTTTTTTTTTTAGTGACATTTTTATCTTCTGGCTTTGGGGGAATAAAGAATGAATCAGATTGTCCAATGCTGCAAATGCCCATGTTTCTGGACTTCCCCCTTCATAATGCTTCATAAGCAAGTCTCACCTGAGGCGATTTCTTTCTTGTACTCATTTGCATATAACCTCAAGGAACAGGCAATGTACATTCACATTATGATTTTTTAATTTATTTCTTCCATACCTGACAATCGTGGAGTGCATTACATTCATAATTATCCACTCACAGCACAATTTTTCGTAACCCTGTATATAGAGTATCACATTATGATTTTTTTATAACTATTTCTCCATAGATAAAGGCTCAAGGGCCAAGCGCTCTGCTTTCTAAATTGTTAAACAAAGTAGCTTATGAATCATGATACAAAACAAGGATGACCAGCTTCCCAGACTGTGTGTGTCTGTGTGGACTGACCACTACTCCATTGCCTCACATTTTAGGAGCGATTCACTCGTGAAAATAATGTCTATTCTAGTTTGAACAACTACTAGGGAGTGTTATGTGGTAGAGGTGCTGTGTTCACTGTCTCTGTTCAGCAAAGCATTGACAAAGGGGACACAGAGATAGCAAGCAAGAATCAGGTTTACTGCAAAAGCAACCCAGGTATAGGGACAGACTTCTCAGAAGAGAAGGGCCCCCCCTGGGGGAGTTTTGGCCTGTTCTTTTTATGGTCTCTAGAATGTCCTCCTTTTCTCATCTCCTCCCGGCCCACGTGCTCCTCACTATTATTGGTTGGTGCCCACTCTGTCCACACATCTGTGTTTGTTTGTTTATTAGATCCCCTGCTTAGGAGAACAAATTGGATCTCCTGCTTGTGTCCATGAGCACTTTCATTAAGCAGGAAGTTGACCTCATTAGAAGACCCTCCCATCCTTCTTTATTCTGGCTCTGCACCTAACTCCTCACTTGTCATATTGCCCTGGTTGCCTAAGCCCTATATCTCCCTCAGTGGTAATAGCAACCCCCCCAAAAAACAATACTATGAATAAGAATCCAATATTTCTAGCTCCAGTAGAGGTTAGATGCCTCACATGCCCCAAAAGATAGGTAAAATGTATTTTGGGATGGTAAATAACTTAGCATTTCAACTTTCAAAAGTTATAGGACAAAATCATTCCAAAAAGCACTCTATCATAGATCAACAATGGACATTTAAAGATTAAATCCAATAATAACTTTTTTACTTTAATGCATTCTCCAAAACAATCATCCTACTCTCATTCTTCTTTCTTACAATAACTCAGAATTTGACAATGACCTCTCATACTTTGAATCCCTCCTGTCTTTTAATTCATTTGAGAGTCAGTTCTTTGATACTTCCATTTATTGAACTTGTTGTCTTTATTTCTCTCTGGTCTAGAACTGCACGGCTGTTTGGTTTCTTTATTCTATGTTCTGTAGCCAAATTTTAATTTTCATATCTATTTCTTCTATTTTTCTTCAAAGCCTTATTCCACAATTTAAAGAGTGCTTAATATCTTTACCCCCTCCCTTTTTCTCCTAGTATTAAATAACATTATCTGCTCTTCCTAGATAAAATGCTGTGCCATAACTTAAGGCACCTCATTTGTTTTGCAAAAAATCTATCATCTATTATTGCACTGTTGACATTTCACACATTTTTAATGTTTATGCTAAATGCTAAAATGAAAAAAAATGTCCATAGGAACTCATTCTTTTTTTTTTTGCGGGGGGAGTTTAAAAGGGATTGAACTTGGGGTCATTCAACCACTGGACCACATCCCCAGACCTATTTTGTATTTTATATAGAGACAGGGTCTCACTGAGTTGCTTAGCGCCTCACTTTTGCTGAGGCTGACTTTGAATTTTCGATCTTCTGAACTCAGACTCCTGAGCCACTGGGATTATAAACATGAACCACCACCCCCTGCACAATTTATTCTTGTATGAAGGTTCTAACCTTCAAGTTTAAACAGAACTCCATATCATCTTCGCAGGACTCTTATCTTTAGTTCTTATCTTTAGACCCCTCTTATAAAGCCATCATCCCATAAAGGGCACCAGAACACCAAGACTAATGCGACATTCTTCTGTGTACGTGCTCTCTGAAGTGACATACTCTTTCCTTCAGGTTCTACCTCTGTGATGAAGTACTCCATTCAGAGTAAATACCTTCAAAGAACACTCTGATTATGATGTCTCTGAAGAAACATATGGAAACTTCAAGATGGTCAGACTGTTTCCTTTTTGCCCCTCCAATATTAGTGTCCACAGTTTTTCAAAGATACAATTTTTGAAATGGTGAGGATATTCAAGGAATCTCAAGTCACAATAGAAACATATTTCATAAATGCTCCAAATTGCCTTCAGTCCATGAAACATATGTACAAAGAAACTACTAAATCATTACATGTGATTTTCTAAACCCCAATTGAAGACTTCCTTTCCTTTCCTCAGTATTCCATATAACTTTCAATTATTTCATTTTCACTTAGGTGATGTCTTATCTTTTTTTTAATTGACTTAATTACTAACTTTTTACTTAATTCAATTACTATATTTTTATTTATAGAACTATCAGTTCTTCATGTGACTGATTTACATCATTTCTCTCACTATTTTTAGCTAATTGTATAATGAATACTTTAAGCTTATTTTTAAATCTCTTTCACAATACTCCCATTACGTCTAGCTCTTTGACTGTCTTGACGTACATATCAGCAAAATTGTTTTCTGTTGCATTTAAGAGACCTGAAATGTAAACTCCCTAT